GTTGTGGTTAGTTTGAAAATGATTTTTTTTATGTAAGACAGAATAAAACAACTAAAATGAAAACCCCAATTAAACAATTTAAAAATTCTCGTAATGGTTCACATGGTGAGATCTTCCCAACAATTTTACCGTAACAGAGCCGGAAAATACAAATAATACAAATATCGCATTTCAAGCGTCCCCTGCTACATAGTATTAATTACTTGATCAAAATAACCACTTCACCTTGTAGCAGCTTAAGACGCAGCAGCTTCAACAACCCGCCTCCATTAGGTAACTTTCATTTTCTAATATCCTGATAACACTTCCGATTAATGCGGCTTTAATTTCCGCCCTGAGGCAAATAGGCTTGTTTCTTGTTTATCGATTGTTCTCGACCGACGGTGATGCCTCCTGTCCGCCTCAGGGTACGAGGACCGATGGTTATTCGACACGGAGAGGTCGATGAAACTTGATATTTTGAAAGCGTTATGCTTCACTAATCTGATAATATTATAGAATATCTGTATCTTTAATTATTACTGGGTTGTCGTCTGCCGAAGCCGAAGGAATAATTGAAAGTTTATAATTTTATCGTTTAAGCTTATTATTTTGATCGACCGCAGTGATACGGAATTATTTATTCAAAGAAATCGATAGTGTTACAAGCAGCGTTATGGGTTTCGCTTTGTTTTACATACATTACTGCAGCCATTCAGAGTTAAATAGACAACGAAATGGAAGAACAAATCGCTTAAATAATTTCGTTCTTTGAAATTATATTTTACTGTAATTAAATTATCTGCATAACAGTTTCGGTGGCTTTTTTTGTTTGATGAACAAAGCAATGATTTTATGTACATTTTTTGAGACTCGCATTAAATGTTTCTGACAACGTACTAAAATTATTAAATCTTATTGTCTGTGAGCGATGTGAAGCAAGACGAGTTCATAACTGATGAAGAAAACTCGTTTTCCGAGACACAAAACGATGCCCTTGTTTTGTAATTTAACTATTCGTACTTTATTGATAAACTAAGTACTCAAAGTAACCCCCAAACAAGCCGTAAGGGGGCACTAAACATTATTACAAATTATTCCTTGTCCGCTACCCATCATCACACGTTCCCTTGGTCGAACTCTACAGCTGAGGCCTCTACACTCATTACATGAGAGTAAAACGCAGTCTATTTGTGCAAGTAGTGCAAAAGGTGTACTAAGTATTCATTTGATGTTACAAAACATGAAGGTCCGGAGTGCAACAAATATATATATTTTGGCAATTATCACTTTAAAATATACTACATTCTGTACGGTGTCGGGTATTAAAAATTTGAAATTTTAAATATACAGGGTATTAGAGAATGTTGTCATGAGAGAAAATTACTAGAAATTGATGTTGCTGTGGAACGAGACATAATTATGATCCATCGTATCAATAATCATTAATTTATTTAAACGTTACATTTAAAGAAAATTGGATGCGTGATGGGCCTACCTCTTGGCCACCCCGAACACCTGACATGTCTCATCTATTCTGCGCTTCAATTGATTAAAGTTAAATTAGTGGAGCGCTTGATAAAACAACTAGTCAAAATGCTGAAGTATTGTGAATAGTCGGAATAAATATACGAAAACGATTTTTTTTGTTAAGCCATTTACTCTTCAGGTTTAATACACCTCTCCGAAGAAATAATAGATATAAAATAATAAAATTGAAATTTTTTTAATGGAGGTTTTATAGTGCTGATTAATTAAGCTTTTGTTTCGACAACGGTGTATTAGACCGAAAAAGTCAGAGACCCATTTTGCTGGCTTTCAGAAAGTGGGACTAATTTTTGTAAAAATCAGTGGCGTAGAGTTTTTTTCCTTAATATATGCCCTTGCTTTCACGCAGGTCACTGATGTAAGTGGTCTGGAAAACAATTGGTTATATGTAAACGTCTCCTTGTGTTATTTTTATATGAGTTTATTAAAGTATTTTTATGTGTACATTTTCTTCACATTAGTCTGTATATTCGGAGATGAAAATGACCTACCTTTTATTGTGATGGTCGTAACCAAGTTGCCCATTTCTTTTAAGAATGATGAAAGTTTAAGTTGTCAAGTCGAAATTATAGTTAAGCAAATTGTCAACATCAATGCCATACGTCAGCTTCTCATCAGTGGAACAACAATAGTATGTTATGCAACAGTAAACGGCATTTGACTCACGAGTTTATTTCACACGAGCGGAGTGTTTAACAAAGAAGTGACTTAAAAAGATTACCGAACGTGTTGCGAACTATACTGTTTCTACCACAGTTTTTGAGTACATTTTCGCAAAACAACACGAATACATTCACTGACATGCCCGTCAGAATTGACAAACGTCAGAATTCAAGGCGTGGGAAATATCTTCGAAAAAATCCGATTGCTCCCAAACCCTTACGGTAAAATCCCAGAAATGTCCGAAGTGGCTCGGATCCACGGCAAACGAAACTGAAGTGGTAAAGTGGCGCTTCCCACACGTTAAATCGGTGTGTAATTAGGCATTTTACAGACAGGAGTAGAAAAAATCATTTTTGCACTAATGCAGTGTAGGAGTTAAGCCTCTGTAAAACTCGGAGTAGTTTTAGTTAGTTCTTACGAAAGCGAAATATTAATGAAGCTTTTAACGCTCCAAAAATTATATCAAAATAATGTACGATTAAAGTAATTCTTGTCACATAGAAAAGATGTAATGAAATTGTATTAATGGTTGTCAGTTGAAATCAGAGAGAATGACGACAAAAAAGCAAATCGCATGGACCGTTGATAATTGGTTCTTTTTTTTATTAAATATCATATTTCGCCCAGAGGCGTACCTAACCGATATAGGTTCTTATATTGACGATACAGACCGGTGTTTTATAAAAACATACTAAGTTTGGTTATATATATATATATATATATATATATATATATATATATATATATATATATATATATATATATATATATATATATATATATATATATATATATATATATATATATATAATGATTACGGAAATTCCACAATTTGCGTTTTTCAACAAATTCTTGTCACTTTAGCTATAGTGTGCACGCCAATGATCCACTGTTAATTAAAACGATCTCAATAAACTGTCTGCTTAGAATTGTTCGAGGCAGTATTTAACATGTGACGGAGCAGTTGTTTTGTTGCCATTTTCCTCGTTGCCAGAGAGCTTCCTTTGTTAACATACGTTTTAATCGCGATGGCATTTTTTATTTGTAGGTGCAACAAGTATACCAACTACTACTCGAATATGTCGGTATGCACTTTGTATTTGAATAGTGACAGAACTGAATTAACGTTAAACGGTTGAAGTGTTCTAAGGAGCAGTAAGATGAAATAATTTAATAGAAGTGAATGTCGTTTATATACGCCAAATACCTAAGTACTTAATGCAAATTGTTTCACACTGTGTATATAAAGGGGGCTTTTAACGATTAATCTAGCTCGAAATATTAGCCGTTAAACGACTGCTATTTTTATATTTTGGCCTCCACAAACTTTTATAAGCTCACAGTTTTGTTTCAGTTAATTTTTAGCCTTTGAAGTTGCTAAAAAGGGTATGACAACGGACTAAAGATAATTTCAATTTAGAGGCAAATTACCTACATTGATGAATTTTGAGTGTGTTCGTGATAATTTTGCAAAATAAATGACGTTGTTCAAAAAAATTATAAAAAGTGCATGCAGTGTAGCGTAAGAAATATATTATTTCCTGGATCCTTTAAAGTTTTGGTGGTTCTCCCATTCCCACATAATGTAATTATTATCTGGTAATGGAAGTAAGGTATTTAAAAAATGTGGAGCAAAGACCAAAGCCAGCTTAAAATGTAAAACCGCGCATACTTCAAATGTGTTGGTTCCTGGGTGAACAGGGGTTTTCGAAAGATATAAAGAACAAATATTTTTTAGAAGACATCAACCATTGTTACCACATTAATTTTTTGAATGATCTTCTGTCATGGTAATTTTACATATATATTGTAAAGGTCCTTTAAATGTGTGTCCAGAAATATGTAAAATATTATCCGTGTAAAAATTTGATCTCCCAAGTTCCTGGGAAATTCGAGGAGGTATCATATATTTTATATAAGAACGCGCTGAAATCCAATATTCTACCAAAATCGAATTTTGTCTACTATTTCCATAAATATTTTTCTATTACTTCGATAACTGTGCATACACGCTGATGCAGTTTTCCTGGTAAATTGGTATCAGAAAATAGAGAGAGAATAAATTTTTCGTACAGTTTTTGACTAACTTGGTAATTAAGTCGAGTAGTCTGCTTGTTTTTCAAAATGTTCCGCAGCAATTAAATTTTTCCCGTCTTAATTAAAAACAAAGCCTCAGAAAGTTCGTTTTAAGAAATACCATGAAGAGCAATTTCTTTTAAAACTCGAGAACTTGGTGGGGCAATTACCGAATTTAAAAAGTTCCGAGAAATTAATTAAAAAGTGATTGATTTGTTGTGGAAAGATTCAGAAGTCGCATCCAGGTTTGATCAATATTAATTACATGGAGTCGCGTTTCAAACGCAGCAAACAGATTGCGGTTTTCTTAGAATAATGATGATCGGCAAAAAAAGTGTCTTGTCAACATTTGATAGATTACGAACAACTACGCGTTCTCCATTCCTTTTTGCCACACATGCTCAACCGCAAAAGTTTATCGGAACTAGACTTCTGAACAATCCAAACGAGTAAATAGAAATTGTAGCCTATTTGTAATTTTTTTCCCGTACATTTCTAATATATATTCTAACACGAAAACCTAAAAAATACCGTGTAATGTTTCTTGTGAAAAACTGAATTATAGTACTCATCACAACATCAAATTAAAATATGGTTTTGTAAATTTGATTTTATTTCGAAATTATTTGTATTGGTAACTTTTTGTATTAAAAGTAATTTCTGAGGAATAATGGTTTGATAAGTTTTTGTGAAATATTTCCAAATTAGTAAGTAATACATTTTCTTGATTTCAGAGGGAATCAGCTCAGAGGGATGCTGACCGAGAGCGTCGCCTTCGCGTTGACAGCGAAACAAGAGCCAAGCAGGCCCTACAAGAGGCTGCACGCTGTAGATCTAGGCTCAAGCTACTCACAACTGAGTTCGCAAGGTAATTTCTTAATAACAGAGTAAAAAATTTGCATGTATATCCACCGGCACATTAAAAACGGCAGACAAGACTATATGAACAGGTTGCGTTTATTTTTAACATCCAATTATGAACGAAAATTTATTAATATTTATCAATCACAGAGGAACAAGGGTGTGTGATTTCATGTGCATCGACTAGTCTATTAATAATGGTGCAACCCAATTAAGGTCCACTTTCCCAGGATTCAGTGAATCCTTACGTGCGAGCATTGATTGAAGTCTATCTGCCTCGTTGAATCTTGCATACATACATTAATAAAATTGCTGTGTCAAGATCGACATGATTTCGAAAATAATGTTTCCATTACAAGACTTGATTAGGCGCAAGACTGCACTAACTAGTAGATATGTATGTTTTCTGAATTATTTTGAGACATCCCATCGGATGCTTTCCAATAGTTTTTTTTCGAACGCATTACTAGTGACTGAATGTTCTACCCCGTTTTTAAAAAAGAAAGTGTTACGTGAAAATTTGTGTTTTATGAGTAGGTTTGCAATTAAATAAAGTTTTTTTTTACAAAACTCTGGATTCCTTTTGCGTCGGTTTTTGCTTAGTCGAAATTGCTGACGTTTCGCCAAGCATCCTGTTGGCTTCTTCAGAGCTTGACTGAAACTGGAATTTCTGAAGAAGCCAACAGGATGATTGGCGAAACGTCAGCAATTTCGACTAAGCAAAAACCGACGCAGGACGAATCCAGAAGTTTTGTTAAAAGTATTACAGTAACCTGTGGAAGTTTCTTTGAAAAATTAAATAAAGTTTTCATATTTTGTTTTTCAAATATGTTGGTTATGCTTTATATTACGAACATTATTAATATTCGTTTTGGTTAGTTGGAAAAAGTTGTTGCTTCGGCATTGACAGTTCTGGGCTACAGAGTAGGTGACTTAAGTATAAATAAAACATTTTAGACCCAGTCAAAATTTTTACAACAAATGTTTTTTGTTTTAATTTTGCAACCTTCTGGACTTTCGTACATTCAAAACTAGCGACCAGAAGAAATAACCACCGGCATAAATTGCTCGAGCTTCCTTCAGTTGACGTAGCTTTAGGTTCACTTTATAGATATATAACCTCCTATAACTTCCGAAGCTACGTAAGTAAATTCGGCAAGACAATTCCCCACGCGGATTACATATGACTGGGATTCATCTACGTTGGCACCTCGCGATCCAGCAACGAAATAACTGCATTAACCCGGCGCTAACTCATCTCCCGTTTTCGTCATTTATTATTACAAGACGCCCGCTTGTCGAAATTGCTTCGTTTCCGATGCGATTTACGCCCTTTTTACTTGCCGACGAGGAATAATGATTGAACTGGTACGGCGTGTTTGCTAAGCGGTCTGGCTTTCTCCACTCTCGCAGGATCGAATGAATTATTTAGAGAGATTGCCTCCTACGGAATGTTTCGGTCTCTTCGGTATCTGCGTCTTGACGGATGATATACGCCGATGTGTTTGTTTACGGCGGCGGCCTGTGTTTGTGCGGATGCGTTCGCGAACATAACGCCTGCTCGTCGCAAATCAATTTATTTCAATTCCGCTGTCATTTTTATCAATACTGGTACAAAGCCTAGTGAAATATCGAAGAAAACAAAGCAATCGGAAGCTTCATTTTGTGTTGTTGTATCTTTCAAATTTGAAAGAGTCATCATTTTAAGTCGCTACCATAGGTTCAGCTTCTTTGGCAAAGTCACATAGACAACGTCTCTTATTTAAAAATTGGGAATGGGGGCCTGATTGACTAAAAATTCGAAAAATGTTTATATTTGATTTACGTACTTACACAGTATAGGCAGATATTTTGGAGCAAGCCCTTTTAGAAGAGCTTTTAGAGCCAGAGCTTATACAGGGTGCGGCAAGAAGGTAGCAGGATTTCAAATAGTGGTTGTTCGGTTTGTAAAACCGGCAACACTGTGTACGCACTCGCGTTAGGCAGACAAAAGTATGCAATTTTCAGTTATCGAGATGGCTTGGAGCGGAGTGTATCGTGTTTTCGTTGTCAAGGAGTTTATTAGAAATGGGGAATCTGTAATAGCGACGCAGCGCGCCTTTTGTAATCAGTTTGATGTTGGTCGGCATGGCGCGGTTCCGGATGGAAGAACAATTCGTCGTTCAGGGAAGCAGGTTCTGCGCTTAACCGAAAATCTACTGGCCGACCGAGGACAGTAAGCACACCGGAAAATGCGAATGCAGTAAGAGTTTCCGTACAACAGTCCCCAAAGCGTTGAGCTCGTAAGCATGCAGCTGCTTTGGGAATTCCCGATAGAAATTTTTGAAGAATTTTACACAACTCACTCCAAATGCATCCTTACAAAATGATGGCAGTGCAAATTTATGCCGGGATATTCTTCAAAACATTCCCAGAGGCGCTGTATTCATGTCTAGCGATGAAGCTCACTTTCACCTCTCGGGTACCGTAAATAAGCAAAATTTCCCTTATTGCTCAGCAAATAGTCCACAGAAACTTCATGAGCGACCTCTTCACAGTCCAAAAGTCACTGGCGTGCAATCTCGGAGTTCGGCGTGGGGTCCTTACTTTTTCGAAGAAGATAGAGTAACGGTAACAGTGAACGGAGGTCGATATTTTGATATGCTTAACAATTTCCTGCGTCCAAAAGTGAACGAGTTGAACAACGATCAAAGAAATTCCTAAACAAAGTGGTGTCTTTACGCGGTGATCTTGCCTGGCCGCCACGTTTGCTTGATTTGTTGCCTTGCGACTTTTTTCTTTGGGGTTACCTGAAAGCGAGAGTTTTCTCACATCGTTCGCGGACTTTGGAAGAATTAAAGGCAGCCATAAGACAAGAAATTGCCTCAATTCCTCAAGAAATGATCCATCCGGTAATGATGCGCTTCCGCGAGATCATTTTTAAAAAATAATGTTCCTAAATGGCATAAAATTTACATTTCAAAAATAATTTTAAAAAAATGTTTGCTTTATGTAGTTTGGTTTTTGTTAACATCCCGAATAGTGCTATCATTTTGCCGCACCCTGTACAATAGCATTTAGAACTAGAGTTTATAAGGATAGAGCGTTTAGAGGAGAATTTAAAGCCACGAGGTCAGAGCTTTCAGATGAACTTTTAGATATAAAGTTTTTGTTAATTTTTCGTCTTTTTCCTTATTTTCCGGCTTTTCTTTACAAGGTGGAAAAAACTTGTAAAAAAAAATTGTTTTAGCATGTTCTAGTTTCCTGCAAACCGCTAGTATCTTTTTTATTTTTTATTTTTTTTACTCTTCACTATTCACTTTCCTCTATAGTCAGTTCTTTATGTTTGATTTTCTGCAAAATGGCTGCGTTTCTTAAATTGTGGTTCGTTCGTTCTGTCCTCAGTGACTTATTCGGCCGATAAGACAATGAATGGTATTCCATATATACTCTACAAACCTGTTCTTTCGAAGGTTGACACAGAATGATTCGAATGATCCAAGCCTGCTTGGTTCTCGACTGTGTTTAAAGAGGTGGGGAATTGTGGCGACTATATAAAGAACCTGTATCCGACTTTTATAACTATAAACCTGCTTCAGTGATTTGTTCATATCACTCTGTGGTCGTAGTACGATTAGTAGCTATTAAGAAATGTTCTTTTTGAAAAAGTGTACTACAAAAGTAACAAAATCGGGCGTTTGACAAATAATTAGGTGGCACCACGAATATTGAACTCGATAGTCGTCGCCCAACCCCCTAAAATCTGAATGATAACAAAATTATACAGTTACGCATGAGCCTAACATGCCGGAAACAAAGATTGATTGTTTTTTCTTGTGTTTGGGCGTGTCGAATAAGGGTGATAACAAGCTCCGTATGTAAAAATAGCTACGGGAAGGCGAAGAAGTAACTTTGCCGTCGGAATACTTCCGTAAGAGATTATACTCGGGGGGTTGTGTATATATAAATCGACGAAACCCGGAGATGTGCGCTGAGAGAGATGAGATAACTAGATTAACGCTTTTGCCGCGTCGAATTGTTATGTTTATTTTGGGCCCTGATGAGAATGGGAGCGCGTTGAACTAAATGGAAATTTGGGAAAATCGGGTAAACTGCCACTGTGTCACGATGACAACGACGACGGCGCGTAAGTGAAAAGGGAGGGATGAATTCCTTAAATCTGGGCGTATGTAAATTGGAGTTAAATTTGGGGTGAAACGATATCGACCCACTTAGGATATTTGGGATTGCAATTGATGATTGAAAACAAAAAAAAATCTCAGAATAAATTGAAGGTGCTGTTTCCTTCATCTTGAGTAAAAATACTTGAACATCCTTAAAGAAAATATTTTGTATTACTCCCTACTCGAACTGATCGGACAAAGTGTCCCCATGCATTTCCGGTACTCTAGTCACGGGTTTGGGAGAGATCTGATGTTTGCAGTAGATTATTTTCTATAATTAAAGATAATAGTTTCATCCTATTGCAAAAACAAAAAAAACATTTTTTGATGCCTTCAGTGTTCAAAATGCGAATTGGAGACGCACTATATGACAAAAACAGTATTTTTTTAGCCAAAGATCTTCACTTCAATCATTACAAGAAAAGGCTGTCGGCGAACAATTAAACTAAAATTGGAACAAAGTCAAAATATTTGAAAATAAAAATAGATAGAAAATAAGAAAATGTTGACGATGATATTAAAGCAGGTACGTGCATATTATCGAATCACTATTATGGCCAAATAATGGTTATATTACTTACTTTTGTAGTAGATTAAAGTCCAAAAAGCTGAAAAAGCTAGCAATAACCAAAAATTTTTGTTTTAACTTTTCCTCGATTTTATTTTACTCAACTGTTTGCCACGTTTTAATTTTGTATTCAACTTTAAGAAACTGACCCGTGAAATAATTTTTCTACTCCGTTCTGTAAAATACCCAATTATACATCGATATAGCGTGCAAAAAGTGTTATTTTTCTACTCCCTTCTGTAAAATACCTAATTACACACTAATCTAGCTTGCGAA